TGGTTAAGAAGGCAAGTAAAACATACTACACCTTAAAAGGCTAAGCTCTCATATAATGTCAAGAAAACAATTCATAGTGCTTGAGACTCTTCTAATGAAGTAAAAGCTAGAGCTAGTACATGACGTTCTCCCTTGAAATTTACATTGTAACGCACTCTCTTGTTCACAGCATAAACAAATGTAAAAATTACTATGAAGTACTTGGAGTTACAAAAGATGCTGGTGATGAAGATTTGAAAAAAGCTTATAGAAAACTTGCTTTGAAGTTTCATCCAGATAAAAACCATGCACCTGGAGCAACTGATGCTTTTAAAAGTAAAGTAAACCTTTTAAAGCAATTTCACTAAGCTCTTTTTAGAATCCATTTTGCCATGTTTCGGAATATTAAATTCTGCTTTTGGACTGGTGCATGTAGGAACCGGCGTAGGCAGGGGTCTGCAAAATCACTGAAAATGTCAGAATAATTATTTTAAGTGCATCTTGGCTTCGCAAAAGCAACATGTTAATTTTAGCAAAGCCTCGAAGTAACTTCCTAATGTTACCCATGCATGCTTTCTTGTTCACCAAACTCAGGTGGTGTGCTGCTTCTGCCTGAGCTCCTAGCCTGTTGCCATCTTGTTCTGAGTGAACTAAAAGTAAGATATAGTGCCTGCAAGTTTTAAGTTATTAGAGATCCTCTTGCTCAGCATTCTTAGATTTTTTATTAACTCAGGCCAATTTTTGCATTTCTTGTACATGGTTCTAACTAATGTGGGGTTTGTTTTTCCTTTTGAACAATTGGTTTCTTTCCTTGCGCCTCTATTTGTCTTTCTCTTTATTTCAGTAGCCTGCATTTTTTGTAAATGAATGTCAGAGAATGGGTTTGAGCATTTCATCTATTGTTACCTATATTTTATTCATCATAGCTAACTTGTAGTTCCTAGTAAAATGTTTCAGTGTTCAGTTGTTCATGCTTATAAATTTGGCATTCAAAGAGTTAACATTTAATACTTATGGCAAAGTGCTAGAGTCTTAGAATAACAGAAAGGGATACTCATTCTTAAGATGTTCCCAAAAGTTAGGACAGTATATTGATCTTTGAAAAACATACTGTTCAGTTATTTTCAAAATAGCATTTTTCTTGAAGGAAGTTCCCTGGGAACTTGGGAAATGATTAGGCTCGTACAAGAACGGCAGCTTCCAGGTGATGCTGGTGGAGTAAACTAGTGCTCGTAGTGAGGACCTTCATCAGGTCCTCCTGGTCCTTGATTTATAAGTTGCATTTTAAAAGTACAGGGCATGTTTTTTATATTAAAAACACTAATTTCTAAATAACTTTTCTGTCACCTCAGTGACTATGTGTGTCCATAAAATTGTGCCATTATTTCGTTTAACTCAAATACATAACTTCCATTATTAAACAAAACCAATATAGCTAAAAGAACTCAGGTTGATTCCTAAATTACTTACAGTTGGAAATTTTTCAAATAGAATAAATATTTATTTTTGTTTGTCTCACTTCTGGAGTTGAAATTCTACAAAGAGTGTTTAGCTTCCATAAATAAGTATGAAGTACTTTACATATACACAGTCACCGAGTTACTAGGTAAAGTAACCAAAATCTTTCAAGAACAAATTTCTTTGCCTTTATTCTACCTCTGCTACTCCTGTAAATTTTACTCAATTTATAAACTAAAAGCATTTAATTTAAAATATCAGATGCTTTTGAAATGTTTTGAAGTATTTTGTCAATGGATTATTTACTTTGGAGAAAGCTGTGGCCATCTGCTTCCATAAAGATTTACATCCTTGGAAACCTGGCGGGGCAGTTCTACCCTGCCCGATAGAATTGCACTACAGTAGGGTTATTTGGCTTCTGCCAATGGGTGGGATGAGGGGTTACTCTCATGTTTGTAGCCTGCTAAGTGATTTCAGTATGAATTCTTCATTATTGTTAACATTAAGTTACTTCTTTCTCCCACTTCTGTATTGAAGCCATGTTAGCATTATTGGTACATTAAATGTGTGTACCTGTATCTCTACAGAGTGTGTTGCATTTTGAAGAGGTGAGCAGTATGAATGTCATCCCAGGAAGCCAGCTAGACTCTCAGAAGGGGTTTTGCAAGGTAGTTATACTTTGGTGTGGTACATTTCAGAGCTTTCTACTCTGCTTTGCAAGTCTCCAAACTCACTGTCAGTGTGCCTGGATATAGCTGGAGGAGAGGCTCACATTATTCAGTGCACAGGAGGTTATCTGTAGATCAGAATGTCAATGTATTAATCCCAAAGAGGATCAAAATAGGGAGGTGGTGGATGAGCCCAATTTTTTATTCAGTGGAAATAACCTCAAGTTGTAATCCACAGATGCTTGATGAGTCAAGGTAGTTAATTAGAAGATGTTACAGCTAGTGTCATCACACAGTGATGGCAGTTTGCAGTCATTCAACACACAGGATATTTGAATTATCTCATTTTGTTTCTAGCCACTCAATCTTGATTTCCAGCTTTGACATACCAAGCAGTTTGTCTCTAATCTGTTTATCATCTGCATAGTGTTGTCTTCTATATAAAAGTTAATGTAATAAAGCACAGAAGATGGGAAATGCTTTGCATTTTCTCCAAGAATAAGGAAAGGGAAAATTGGTTGAAAGACTTCAATTAGATAAAAGAGACATTTGTATGTATTTTAGGCTTCTATAGAGCAATAGAAACAGTGAGATGGGTAGATAGATAAGTAGGTATATGTATGTGTATGCTGTTAGATGCCGTTGACATCTAACTTGACAACCCGCATGACAAAATAGAACGTCCCTACAGGGTTTTCGAGGTTGAAATCTTTAAGGGAGCGGATCAGGGTGTTTTCCCCACAAAGTCCCACTGGGTGGGTTCAAACCACTATTCTTTTGCTTAATAACCAAGTACAAAAATGTTGTGCTGCCAGGGCAAAACAAAGAACAATGAGTTTAATCCCACCTCTCAGGGTAGGTATTGTAGAGAAATAGAGAATATGATAATGCTCTCTTTCTTCAAAGAAATTATCATTCATAAAGGAGAGATAAGTCTTGCATAGAATATTCACAATAATGGTAATGCTTAATACTTTGTAAAGTATTTTATAGTTTGTTCTGTTTATTATTGTTATGAAAAATGGTGTGAAATAGGAGACCACCATCGTACTCCTTTCATAAATGAGAAAATAGAGCCTCAGAGATAGTAACTGATTTGCCCAGGATCTCCCAGAAAAATGAATATAATGAAGTACTTAAAATACAGCATCAAGATATCTGATGAAAACTCAGCAGGATAAAGGAGGATTATGAGCAGAGTAATTAGAGAAGAGCTTCATATAATCGATGAGATTTGTGAGTTTAAGAGATGATTATAACTGTACAATGAGAGTAGAGAGGAGGTGTCAAGGGTCTGGCAGTGAACATGAGGTAAGCACTTTAAAAGTACCAAGAACTTCCACTTGCTGAAAGGTGGTATAGATAATTTCCTCCCTATTTTTCTCACTAAGTACTTCTGAAAACCCTAGATCTTATACAAGGAAACAGATAGGAGAAGCCTGAAAGGTACAGTGAAAAGGATACACAATAGCCAAAGTGAAGTTTTAGAACTAACCAAACAAACAAAAACAAAACAAGCTGTCAGCGGGCTGGATAGACAGAGAAGAGAGTCCATGACTCAGAATATGGAACAATAGACGTATACCCCATTGAACAAGAGACAGAAAGTAGAGCAAACAAGTAGACTGAGACTCATGGGACAAACAAAAGCCGTAACCCCCGTGCCATTGGGATACGGAGAGAAGAAGAGAACGGGTAGAGCTGAAAGAGTCCTCAAAGAAATAAAGACCTAAACTTCCTTGAGTTCTGTAAGATTGCAGGACGCAAGACAAATATTCACGAATTAATTATCCTGGCATTTCTGTATATTACGATTTATAATCACTTTTTTAAAAGCAATACGTTTTCAAGTCTCCTAAAATTGCTATACAGGTTTTATATAATTTCTACCAATATTGCAGCCAGACTTTTTTTTTTGTAAATAGAAGCAAGCTTCTTCTAAAAGTTACATGTACAGACAAAAGAACTCCAATAGCTAATATAATTTATTAAAAGAATGCAGTAAAAAATAGTTAATGCACCCAATTTTAAAATTTACTAGCAAGGGTCTTACAAAAATTTATGGAAAAAAAACTTATCTTTAAATCCCAGTTTTCCTGAGCTTTTGGAAAGCCCCCTTCTATACGGTTACAGTTATTAAACTGTGTGGTATTGGTGGTAGGATAGATATACATATATATTGATCATTGGAATGGAATACAGAACCAAGAAGACCTGTATGAGTGTGTCCAACTGATTTTTGACAAGAGCGTGAAAGTATTTCAGTAGAAGAAAGATAGCCTTTTCAACAAATAGTATTGAAGTAGGTGGACACTGATAGACAAAACTTAACTTTGACCTAAATCTCACACTTCATATAAAAATTACTCAAAATGCATCATCGATGTAAATGTAAAGAACAACTTTGTAACCTTTAGCAAAAATCACAGGAGCTAATCGTACGGCTAGCCAAAGATATATTAGACTTGACAGCAAAAGCATACTTCAAAACAGGAAAAGTTAGTAAATTAGATTTAATTAAAATGAAGAGCTTACTCCGAAAGACCCTATTAAAAGGGTGAGAAGATAGGCTGCAGGGTAGGAGAAGATATCTGCCAATCACATAACTGACAAAAGACTAGTATCTAGGATACGTAAATAAAAACCCAAAACTTAATAGGGGGAAAAAAATCTAATTAGAAATGGGCAAAAGACTTTCCACTGAAGACAATATATACACAATGTTAAGACAAAATGGATGTACTTTCTTTCAAAGCAGTTATGCAGACTTAAGCTGTCTAGTACGAAATACTTGTATTGGGAGATAATATGTGTACATGGACTAAATACATATTATATTGGCCAGTCTTTCGTCATATATAAAGTTTGCTTACCAACGTTTACTTACTTTTTCAGAGATTGGAAATGCTTATGCTGTTTTAAGCAACCCAGAAAAACGCAAACAGTATGACCTCACAGGCAACGAGGAGCAAGGTTGTAATCATCAAAACAATGGAAGATTTAATTTCCACAGAGGTTGTGAAGCTGATATAACTCCAGAAGACTTGTTTAATATCTTCTTTGGTGGTGGCTTTTCTTCAGGTACTTCAGTATTAAATTCTATGAAGCTAGGGACTCCCAGTTAGGCTGTTCATAGATTGGTATTTCTTCCTTAACTTTTGTTTTCTTTCCAAGTTTTACATTCTGTGATGATTTTTCCTAAAATAGGAAATGAAATTTCCTTTACTATAGCCTGTTTTTTCCCTAAGACACGTTTTTGTCTTATTTATCTAGTGTTCCTGTACTGTGAAAACCACACGTGGGTGACATTAACAGGCAGACGTTTGTCTTGCAATTTAGGAAGCTTGTGGTCTGAATACAGAGCACTGTCTCTGGAGGAAGGCCCTTGCCCTTCTGCCTCTGCGTCTTGGCGTCTGTCCTACCCTATCTGCTCTGTTCCCTTGTTCAGTCTCTGATAGTTCAAAAGACAGGCTCACCAGTATCTTCCAGCCAGTCCAGGCGTTTACTATTAACCTTAAAACTCCTCCAAGCGCTTCTACTTTTCAGGTATCTGTTAGAGCAGCCCACACTCTCCACATTGAGTCGATTTTAGTTATCTGGTGCTGCTGTATACCAGAAATACCACAAGTGGCTGGTTTGCACCAACAACTATATGAAATCTGAATTTAGAGTGTCTGTTCTAGGTCAAGTCTTTCTCTCCTACCGGGGCCCTTGTCTTTCAGCTTTTACTTCCTGGTCCCTTGGAGGTATCCACATGTCTTGACGTCTACCTTGTCCCATCTCTACTCTGATCCCTTGTTAAATTCCTTTCATATCTCAATAAGAGACTGTTTCAAGATACACCATACAGTAATCTTGCTTCACCAGTGTAGCAAAGGCAGCCTATTAGCAATAATCTACAGCACAAGTTTTCAGGGGACATCACCTAATGTATAACACTTTTTACTTTAAAAAAATAACACTGGTTTATACTGTATGTAGACTGAAGAGAGGGCATGGAAGTAAGAAATCCACTAATACTGTTTTAGGCAAATGCTGTTACAGTTAGGGGAGATATCCTGTGCCTTAGAAGGTTATTTGATGTAGATTCTGTAGAGCTCTCTGTAGATACTTTATTAATATTATTATAGATTGTTAATTTGGCATTTTTTGAAGGTTCTTCTTCCCATTGAAATAGTAGATAGTTCACTTCCAAGTATCTAAAAATTTTTTAATTAATATAAAAATAACTATTTATGTAAAAATAGGCTTGATGCAATTGATGTATGGAATGTTATGAGCTCCCCCACCCCCACCCCCACAAAAGGACTTAATTCAAACAAAAAGAAAGAGATGTGTGAAAGGAAGATTAAGTGATAATGTATTACATTTTAACCTAAATAAATAATTATTTAAATTAGACTACCAGTGTGAACTATTACAGCAGTATTGCCTAAATAAAAAGATTTTGTAGTACTAATGTAAGTACTATTAAACTCTATTAAATTTATTTGAATAGAAATTGATTTTCTCTAAGTTAAAATTAGAGCCCCAATCCAGTTTGTATTTATTTAAGGTGCTAAATTAAACATTTCACTCAAAAGTAGGAGAAGCTTTATGAATGTAGTCCGAATATTGTTGAGAAAGAACGTGAGTATTAAGTATTAACAGGAAATTTTATAAAGCAGTCTTGAAGGAAAAGCGAATGTATAGATATAAATCAATGATGGAAAATATAAGCCATATTTTTGGCATATTCAGATACATAACTGCCTGTCATTGAAAAGTTATTAACACGAATAATTTTGACAGAGAGTATTCTAGGAAGAATTTTAAATCTTTCAGGTAACAGTGAATTCAGCTTTGAATAGCTGATTTGTGTACTCCCTGCTGGGCATTAGCAGTTAAGTGCTCATATAACTACCAGAGAATTGGTGACACAACCACCTAAAGGTGCTGTAGAAGGCAGGCCTGGCAATCAGCTTTCAGAGGATCACAGTCTTTAAAATCCTTGGAAGCTGTTCTACTCTGCACACCGATTGCAGCCTAAGTCAGAGTCAACTAATCACAAATTGATTTGCAGTTCATTTGTCGGTTATGGCACAGTTATTCTGTCAGCCATTTCTAGCTGATCCTGATGACTCAAATAACTTGAGTATACATCAGGAAGAGAATGTTTGAATAAATTGTAGTATACCAATACCATAGTTTATTATAGAGCTATTTTTAATAATGACCTTGAGCTTCTAAGGATATTATCGATGCATTGTTAAGTGTAAAGAGTAAAGTTTAGGACTAATGATCCAGTGTTTGCCAAAGTCAGCAACAAAACAAAATCCTCCCTGATTAGGAAGGAGCTCTTCTTGTTTCTATGCAGGAGAAGGGGGAAAGTGTAAGATGAATTATTTCTGTTTTTATCTAGACTTGACTCAAATGGAGAGAGGATAATAGCACTTACTGTCCTACATTGACAAACATGATTTTTGAAATTAAGGAATAAATAGTTTTTCTGAGCATGATTGATTTTTCTAATGTCATTTTTAATTTCATAGGTAGTGTACATTCATTTTCAAATGGAAGAGCTGGTTATAGCCATCAACATCAGCATCGACATAGTGGACATGAAAGAGAAGAAGAAAGAGGCGATGTATGTTTATGACATTATTAGAAATTTTAAAAGGACTTACTTTCAGCCCAGGAAAGACAATTAGAATTGTCCTGAAATAAAGGAAATTGCTTTAGGAAGTAATGAATTGAACAGAAGTGTTCAATAGAAACTAAAAAACACTTTAGGAACATGTGAATTCAGCTTTGATAGCTGATTTGTGAGACCAGTAGAGGGTGGTGGTTATACAACATGATCCTTCAATTTTGGTTATCTTTGATTCTAATGAAAATATAAGGGGACCCCCTTCCCCAAAACAGAAAAAAATCCTCCTCTGGGAAGAGCTTTCCTAGTATGCATTTATCTGGTAGACCAGCATTCAGCAACTTCCTCTGAGTTAGTGCACCCAGTGGCATCACCTGGGAAAGTTCTCTCTGGTCACAATGAATTTTTTATTAAAATCAGTTTCACTAAAACATCCTTTTTTGCAATGGCCAATTTATTAGAACAGCATGTGACTAAAATTTTGTTCCCTGCTCGGGAAAAATGCCACAAAAACTGTTGTGATGTTGAACACAGCTTACAAGGACAGCACTATGAAAAAGCCCAAGTGTACAAGTGTTCCTCTCATTTCAAAAAAGGTGAAATGTCAATTGATGACAAACCTCCTAGATGTTCACCAACTTCCCAAATGGCTGAAAATGTGCACAAACTCATGCACTTGTGCTAGAAGACTGACAATGGACCATAAAAGAGATGGAGAAGTTATCTGATCTATCTTGACACTCAGTTCAGTAAATTTTAATGGAAGATTTGGGAAGGAGAAGGGCTGCAAAATTTGTGCCTTGGGTTCTGACTGACATCGAGTGGAAACATGCTGTCTTTGAAAGGACAACTCCAAAGCAACCTTTTTCCCAAGGTCATTACTGGTGACAAGAAATGATGCTTTTCTTACAACCGCAAAACCAAGCATCAATTAAGCCAGTGGGAGGGCGACATTATCACTTTGCCCAAAAAAATGCTAGTCAAATGAAATCAAAGATCAAGATAATGCTCATTTGTTTTTTTGATGTAGGTGGGTAGTGCATTTGGAGTTTGTTCCACCAGGTCAAACTGTTGATCAAGCTTGCTACTTAGAGGTTCTGAAAAGATTGCATAACAGTGTGCCACAAAAAAAGCCCTCATTTGAGGCAGACGGGATTGGTTTTTCCATCACGACAATGCACCTGCTCACGCAGCCATCTCCGCCAGTTTTTGGCAAAAATAACAGCATTCCTCTCTTGCCCCTTGCACCTTATTCACCTGACCTTACTCCATGCGACTTCTTTTTGTTTCCACAAATGAAGAGGGACATGAAGGGACAGTGATTTGACAGCATAGAAGAAAAAATACAGGGGAGGTGTTGTCAGCCATCCAAACAAATGAGTTAGAAAAATGTTTCCAAGAATGGAATTGCAGATTTGACAATTGTATTAAATGTAATGCAGAGTACTTTGAAGGTGATATGGTTGCTTTGTAAAAAAAAAAAAAAATTAAATACATGAGTTTGTGGGGAAATTCTAGAGTTTTGGGGGGAGGATACTCCCTTGTATACCTGCAGTGTGCATGCATTTTTGAAGATTCTCTTT